AAGTGCAACACTCTCGTTCTCAAACTTTTATTAGCTGTCCACTTAAATGTGAACGTCTGCAGACTTTGGAAAACAAAAATTATCCTATATAAATCATACATTGGCTCTATTTTCATCTTTTAAAACAAAAATCCTTGGTTTCGTTTTCATAAAATTATCAAAGTCAATTTATAAAACTTTGAAAATATTAAATTCACTTACTGGTATAACTGTTACCCTCTTCTTCTTCTTTTTATCGATAAGTGCTATAAATCATGATGTGTATGCATCTCAAAATTGATAAGTGTTACAAGTCACTTGTGAAGTACCTTTGTCACCATTTCGCCTCGTAAAATTGATAGACAAAAATGTTTGGAATAGAATAAACTCCATACGTACTGTAGGAGACATAGCTTACCATGATGCAATGGTCTTATGGTTTGCAGTTCAACCATAATATGGTTTCACGATAACACACTACTCCAAATCATTTCACTTACTTTTGCAAAAACAACAGAAGATTTGTGCGTCGTCACTCTGAGAGGATGCGAACGATTTTAATATATAAGGTCGAACATTGCATCAAGGCTAAAAACGGAAAAACAATAGATCCAGAACCGGGTCCCAACTTATAAAAATGTAAATAAAATAAAAGTTTGATTGATTCATAATTTCATATGAATAGTATTTGCTGATTCCATTATCCATTTGTGACTCTACACACGGATTTTAGATTACACTACAGTGAGAGAATCGATGTATGCAGAGAAAAAATTTTTGATCCCATTTGTTACGTTTTTGTGTGTGTGCATCTCTAAATTTATCTGGAGATTTGGATGCATGGTGTTGCACTTGTGCCATGTAAGAAGACATTGTGCTTGCTTTTGTCGTCTTCTTTTATTGTCTTTATATATGTAAAGATAGCATAGATCTAAGATCTAGAATTATCGTTTTTATAAATTCACTAAAAAAAAAGAGGTGTTTTACATCATTTAAAAAGTATCAAAAACCTAAATGATATAATATTAAACCATTTATTAAATAAATGATACAAAACATGTGACTTAACATCAATTGTAGTAATTGATATTATTTTTGACGTGTTAAACATCGGTTTAATAATATTGATGCAAATCCATATTAATTTGTATCACTTAAAAAAATTGACATATAAA